CAGAAGGACTCATGCAAGGGCAACCTCGCTGCGAATTGGGAGGGCCCTTACTGTGTCCAAGATAAGACAGAACACAAGACCTACTACCTCGAAAACTTACATGGGGAGGAAATCACTTGACCATGAAAAGCTCAAAAGATACTACAGTTAGACACTGCCCACAACAATCAGCCTCGCGACCACCGGAGCGCGACCTAGTTCAAACGCGTCTCCCAAAACTTAACGAGATGTTACGCGCCTTTCCTTTGTGTGTGTAGGCAGAACGCTCTGTCCAACAGGGATCTATCAACCAAGCTCCTCCACCGCCGTACCAAGATGGTAGAACGCCCAACTCACGATGGGGTGTTCACACCGCAGAGAGAGAGTTACGACCGTGGCCCCCACTTTGTAACCCGACAAGGTAACAACCCCGGTCACCCGGCCAGTTCCCTACACTACTAGGCATAATAGATAACGTCGAGCTACCACTCCCAAAAACAACAATATATAAAAACATGAAAATAAACATACAAAAATCCATCCAAACAGGCATGCATAAACAAATAAACGAGCACACACAAATACTTAACGAAAAATAATAAACATTGTTATAAAATCACAGACACGAGCCCAGCTGTTAGGAAATTACAATAAAGGGCACAAGGCCCAAACAACATTAAAAAATTATTATACAGCACGTAGGCCGACAAAAAATGGGTACGCAGGCCACACAAACTCCTAATCTTCAGCGTGATCCTCTCCTTCTAGGTCGGGCTGGTCCCCCTCGGAAGGCCGCTCCTCTTCACCGTCTAGTCCGCTGGGCACCACAATGCGATCACCTTGGACTTGATGGTAAGGGTCTGTCCCTGTAGTCACCAAATCCATGTCGGGGTTGGCGAGCCGAAGTTGGGCCACGACGTTATTAAAACCCACCTCGACAGCTCTCAAACAGTCATCCTCCAACAATCAGATCTTTTCCATTAGCTCGCATCGGGAAACCATCAGCTTCTCCTCATCGGACTCTTCCTTGGCAGGAGCCAGCAAGCCCTCGAGTTCAGTGACCCTCCCCTTCATCCGAGTTAGCTCGTCATCCCCATCCTTCACCGTCTTTTCGAGCTCCTTGTCCTGCTTCTGACATTCTTTCTGGTTGGTAACCAGCTTAGATCTAACCTCTTCAGAAATTGCTAGCTCACCCCGCACTGTTGCCAAGTCTGCCGAAGAACAAGCCTCCTTGTTGAGTGCGAGAGTCGTTTCAAACACCCTCACCACCAAGTCCAGTTCATTCGACAGCATCTTCCTTCGGGCCACCTTGTTGGCAACCAGGATGGTTTTGGTTTCCTCAGGAGCCACGGCGGGGACGTTATCCCTGGTAAAATAGTTAGGTCTTAGACAACAGGGGGGAAGGATGAAATGATGGTCATGAGAGTTATCCGTCAGGTCGATCGGGGACGTCTCGGACTCTCGACACCCCTTGAGGATCGGCTGGGCGACTAGGGAGCTTCTACCTTGGAGGGACGGAGTCGACCCCACTTGTCCAGCACCGGTCTCCTTTTAAACAATAGAGGCCCTCTTCGTAGGACGTCTACCACCTCCTTTGAGTAGCTTCGTGACACGTTCCTCCATAGAACCCATATCACCTACAAAGAAAACACGGAAAAAGCAAAGTCAGTATGGGAGCTCAAAACAAAACAAAGAGATCCGAGAAAGCTGCTCGTTACCTAAGAAATGATGAGCCTCTGCCTCGGTCCAGCAACCGAGGAGGGACTTCATGCTGAAATATCTAGTCTCAGTCCAGATCTCCCCGCTGGCGTCGCGGATGTACTGCCCATCCGGTGTCACGCATTTGCAAGGGCGGAGCCGCCCGACAAAGTTGACCAATTTCTTGAAAGCCAAACTATCATCCTCGTCTAGATGGTTAGGCCGATAGATGAAGCTCTTTGTGCTAGATTGGAAATGCAGCTCCATCCACTCCAAGGGGAAATGGGAATGGAAGTCCACCTCGGGCTTTCCGTTCACCACGGTAACCTCACGTCGGAACAACGTATTGATGGCCTCGTCCGTCTCTGGCATCACCACATACCACCTGTCTTTGAACCCCTGGAGAGAATCTGTGTATGCCCGGAAGAGCCTGGTCGGCTGCTTCAGGGATACCCAATTGTCTCTCCCAGACACAGTCTACCATTGCAGATGGAAGATGCAGAAGAAGAGTGAAATGGTGGCACCGAGCTCGAGATAGTTGTAGACGATCTCAAAGGCACGAATGAAGGCAAAAGAGTTGGGGTGGGGCTGAGAGGGCGCCAACATCAGATGGTCGAAAACTCCCTGTTGAAAATCTATGAACGGCAGGTGCATCCCCGCCTCCTTAAATGCGAACTCGTACATGGGGAATCGTCCCCCGTCATAGCGAGAACAGATGCAATCCTGCTCCCGAAGGCAACATGCCCTAAACTGGAGAGGATCCCCTGCGACTCTGTCCTCGATTACGGCAAAGACATCCGCGTCATTGTCAATGAAATGTGACATGTAATTACGGGATTCGTCCCTGGCCCATTCTTCTGCCGAACTGTTGGGAGGCTCCACGGCGGTCCCGTCTTGGAGACCCCCCTCGTTGTCAGACAGATACCACATTATTTCTTATTCTTTGCAGGAAGCCATTTACCTGAAAATTAGAGGAACTTGGTGAATTTGACAGCTAAATCAAATTCACCCTTCCACCACAGTTCAAGTGAAAGGGCGTAGACACCTAAAGCCGAGCAGAAGAGGACCATTATGGGTTAAACCTAGATCCTTCATCATCCCCGGGGAATTCATCCTTTTTCCTCGGGATACTCATCGATCGTGCCTAGGGTATTCATCAAACACCCTCGGGGCATTCAACAATCATCACGTCTACCTGGGTCACTCATTGTAAGTGCCGGGGACGTTCGGTCAGAATCCTAATTTTGAAGGACTTTCTGGCGTATTCGCCGGAAACATCCACGGCCTCCCTGGCAGGCCCGTCTGACCCACCAGAAACGCCGCCGGAAACCCATTAAAACACCAGTAGAGGGGCGGAAACTTATTTGGTAAGCCGGAGAGCGGTGATTGCGTCGAGCAGAAATGTTGTAGACATCGAGCAGATAATTCAGAAAACTGAGCGGCAACAAGGAGACAAGTGAGCAAAAAGGCGGATTGAGCCAACGTATATATAGGCCCCTAGCACGAGAAACGAAGCGTCACTTGGCATTCGAGTACCTAGCTCGTAGCCTCCCTAGGGTGACACGTGGTGACTCTTAGCTTTCTCTGCATCTCTTCAGGTTCCCTCTCCTCGTCCGCGGGCCTCTCCGCGCATCGTAGACTCGCCCGAACAGTATGGTCGCGGACAAACCAACAAAGCAACATGCTCGACACCTCTGCACTTTAAGTCATAGCTCGTTTAACCACGAGTAATGACTTAGGGGGGCTACTGTTTTGGACTGGGCCGACACTTGGCCCACAGTCGAGCAGACCCAACCCCACATCGGGTTGGAAGGTCCAATAAGACCTAAACTGCCTCCTCGTCGGGCAGAGCCCTTTCTCCCGTCGGGCACGAACCTCTTGGCAGTCGAGCAGGCACCTTACATCTGCTAGGCACACTCTCCCTTCTGCCCAACCGCCGGACAGACCCTATCCAGCTTAGAGGGTTCCTCTTACCTCCCTCACATTCTCAACGTGTCCCCTACGCGGAGACACGTCATCAGATAACTACCCGTACCCTGATTATTTGGCCATCCACCTTCTAGATAGCACGGAGTAGTTACACTAGGGCGAAGACCACGTGATGGTCTTCTTGATGCCACATCAGCCCTAGCAGTTACCAGCATTTGGCCTGGAAACCCAGTCTAACGCGAAGTAACAGTTGGCCCTGCATTGGGGGCACACTATAAATACCCTCTTTCACTAGAGGGCCAGGTAATCTCATTCTTACTTCTGTTTTGTACTTATTATCACTCCGTCTGACTCTTACTTTGACATCGGAGTGTGTTTCAGGTATACCCCCTACATTCTCCTTGGCAGTTAGACAGCTCAAACGTGTGGCCAGCCAGTAACTCTTTATGATCAGGTGAAATCAAAATTCTACGAAAACTAGTTTTAAAAGGGATTGATCCCGCTCTAGTGTCTTGTCAAAAACAAGTGCGAATGCTAATTTACACCTTCTTAAACAAGTTATCCACAAACCAATTAGAGGAAGCCCCATAATAAGAACTAAAAAGTTAGAAAAATTTTTACTGAGTAGAGGAACAATGAAAACTAGAAGACTTACCCGTCTTGAATGAGGAAACAACTCAATACTTGTTAGTTGAGCTAGATGTGTTTAAGTTGTTGATGAAAGGTTCAATCATTAGTAGTAATAGTTCTTTGTATTTTTTCATAATCTATTAATGTAAACAAATTGTTGATACTTATAAATCAAAAAACTTTTCTATTAAAAGTTGACTTCCTTATCTAGTTATAAGAAGGGCACCTAAAGTCGGTAACATCAAATATTTGTCTCCATTGACATTTACCTAGAAAAGTCCAACTCACAAAGTGAAGACCACAAACATCTAACCACCTCCCCGCTTATTCTTACAAACGTTAGACTATTACACAAGAGAAATCTTAAACTCACCATTCACCCAACTCCCAAAGAATCCTCTTTAAATCATAATTATCTTCTTCCACGCCTTAGATGTAATTTTCAATAAGGTAAGAAATAATAGACATAAATTCAGTATCAAAATGTAATAGAGTATTTAATATAAATTATGTGTATTTTTTTGGATTGATAGATGAAGTGGTACTAACTACTAAAAACTTACACACTTAGCCGGGAAAACTTCAAACTCTAATTATATTGTCCAACCTAATAATATCAACATATGCAAGTTAAGTTAGGATTTATGGATAAATTATGTTTATTTTAGATTTATGTATTATTACTCATAAATTTTAATTTATACAAAGAAATATATTAAATTGTCTTATAAAAAGTGTGTTTGAACATTATTTATATAAATGAGTTATTCTTTGTTTTGTAACAGTGGAACAACGCTGCATCGTATTTCCAAGTTTTCGATCCCTCTCTCAACTTTCTCTTCTGAAGCTTTCCCCCATTGCACAGCATAAAATCCTACCACAATTATAATCGCACCAATCAAACTGCAAAAAGACATTTGCAAAATGAATTCTAAATGTTACGTGAAAAAAAATACTAGTTAACTATGTTACTTAAAATGAAATAGTTTTGAATATTTACCTCCCAAGATAAAATTCATCCCCAAGAAAAGTAAAACCCAAGAAAACAGTGAAGATGATTCCTATTGGTTTGAACATAGCACAAAAAAGAGGACCAGCTTTTTGTACGCACCATGTTTGTAAACAGTACCGAACTCCTATTGCACCTATTGCCTGTTTAATTAAACTTAATTAATAAATGTAGTAATTTTTAATTCAAGTTAATGTAACTTGTTACAGTAGGGTGTAGCCGGTTACCAAACCTTCAAGCAGCAAAAATATCAAAACAGTGGGATTTATAACCGATTACATATTTTTGTAACTAGTTACTATCCCTTAGATTTTGATATATTTCAATACAACAGAGTTTATAATTCGTTACTGAGTATATATAACTAGTTATATTGTTGGAAAATTTGTTTTTTCTTTTAGTTAGTTAGTTGTACACTTGTGTATTGTTCTATATATATTTCATGTTAGGTTTGTTAATGAAGAACCAATGTTTTCACCCTAATTCTCTCTAATTGTCTCACTTTCTCTCTTATTCACTTGTTCATCATTTTATCTTGTGATTAGGGTTTTGCCCTCAATATTTGATATCAAGAGTCTGATTGTTTTATCGAATGCTTAGTGTACAAAAATGTCTTTCATCTCTAATGAATGTTTCCCTGCAAATCTCTCAATTCTTGATGTGAAGAATTATGATGAGTGGTGCAAACAGATAAAGGTGATGTTTGGTTGGCAAGATGTTCTTGAAGTGATCAAGAATGGTGTCAATCTACTTGTAGAAGGTGCAACGGCTGCACAAGAAATTGTGCACAAGGAAGATAAGACGAAAGATTACAATGCTTTGTATCTCATTCATCAATGCGTTGATGCGGAAAACTTTGATAAGATTGGTGATTGCACATCCTCAAAAGAAGCTTGATAAATCTTGAAAAAAAAGTTATGCAGAAGCTGTAAAGAAAAACAATAGTGAGGTTATAAACTCATAAGAGGCAGCTGGAATTAATTCAGATGGAAGAAAAGGGAACCATTAGTGAATTTGCTACAAGAATCACAAGACTGGTGAATCAAAGGATGCAATTTCTTTTCAGGCCCATCTCATTGGAAAAGACAAGTAAGTGAAGGGAAAACAGTTTGCTAATAAAGATAAAGGAAACAATCATAACAATGATGGAAAGGACTCCCAAAATTCCAACGATTCAACAATTCAAAAGCGTGAAAGAAGCCATAACATAGGTTGTGGATCAAACAATTACAAAATTGATAATTATAGAGGAAGAGGATGAAAAAGGAAAGATGATATGAGCAATGCTCTAATTATCAAAAGACTGGACATTTAGCTCGTGACTGTAATTCCAAGAAGAATGAACCACAAGAAGCTGAAGCTAAGTTTGCAAGGCAAGAAATGATGATAGCACACTGTTGATGGTGATTGTTAAAGCAAAAAATAGAATATGAAAAGGAAACTATAATCATTTACAAGCATAGCATTACATGTTACCATCATTTGAAAATGTGATGGTGACTACGCGTGAAGATGTTGAATGCATCAATCAATGGTACCTTGACTCGGGTGTTCAAGTCACGTGATGGAAAGGAAGGATTGGTTTGTAAAAAGTAATCAAGAATTGAAAAACAAGGTGGCATTTGAGTATGACAACACACTAGCAACTCAGGGTATTAGTGATGTATCAATCAAGAGCCAGAATGATGAGAATTCTTTTATTAAAGATGTGTTGTATATTCCTGAAATCAAGTGTAATCTTTTAAGAATTGGTCAATTGCTTGAATGGAATTTCAAGATTCACATGAAAAATAAAGTGATGAAACTTATGGATGCAAATTGGATTTTAATCCTAAAGACCCATATGGCTCAAAATGAAACCTTCAAAATTGAATTGAAAGTAATGGAGCCTAGATGTCTTGCAACAATCACTTTTAGAGTTGAATGGATATGGAACTATATGCTTGGGCATTTAAATTTTAAAGATCTCAATGTTATGTATGAAAAAACATGGTTACAAAGCTTCCATTGATTAATATGCTAACAGAAGTATATAAAGAGTGTGTAGAGGCCAAGCAACATAAAGGAAACTTTAGCAAAGATGCAGGGTGCATAACTAGGTGTCTTGTTGAGGTGGTGTATTCATATGTTTGTGGATCGATGCTAGTTGACTCAATCGAACGAAATATGTACTTTATCACTTTCATTGATGATTTTAGTAGAAAGTTATGGACTTATTTGATCTAAATGAAATATGGTGTGTTGTAAGTGTTCAACAAGTTCAAATACATGGTAGAAAGGCAAAGTGGTCACAAAATGAAAACTCTAACACCAGATGGTGGAGGTAAATATATCTCAAATGATTTTGGGAAATTTAGTGATCAAGAGAGCATTGTATATGAGGTAGTGTCACCCTATACACTTTAATAAAATGGAGTTGCTGAGAGGAAGAATTGATCAATTACGAAGATGGTGAGAAACATGATGAAAGGGAAGCATTTTCCTAAATAATTATGGGGAGAAACGGTGTCTAAAACTGCATATTTTTTGAATAGGTGTCCAAAAAAAGAAGGTGAAAAATATTACATCCGAAGAATCATGGTTCAAATTCAAGCCAAATATGAGTCACTTAAAATTATTTGGTTTGGTTGCGTATAGACATGTTCCAAACCAGCTTAGAAAGAAGTTAGGTGACAAGGGACAAAAAATGATACTTGTTCTATATCACTCAACTGGTGACTACAAACTTTATGACGTAGTTAACAAGAGAATTATAATCACTAGGGGCATGCTTTTTAATGAATTTAGGGATTATATGCATGTTGTAACCGATTACCATCAAATCGTGACAAGTTATAATAGTGTTGAAATTATTCATGCAATGTTTGAATGGGTAGAAAATGGAGCCTGTAAAATCCAAGTTGAAGAAAATGTGATAGGATCAACAAGGAAATAATGCATGCTTGCGAGATTGCATGACTATGAATTGTCCCTGGATGATAAAGTAAATGAAAATAGTGATATTGTCCATTTTATGCTCATGGACGAATCTGAACCAGAGAAAACGGAGAAAGACTTAAGTGATCCAAAGTGGATATGTGCAATGAAGGAGGAGTTAGAGTCAATAGAGAAAAATAAGACATGGAAACTAATTGATCTACTGATCAGTGCATTTTGATGCACACTCTTTTACTATTGTGCTACACAATATATACTTTCTCTTGTTATTTCTATTATTTTTAGTCTGTTTTTCAATTTTAATATAATTTTTTTCTTATTTTATTTTTGTTATTTATTTTTTTGAATAAGTAGTAATTTGACACCTTCTCTTTGTGCAGATCATAACTTGAGGTACGAGATGTCGTTTGATGCATTCTAATATGTGTTGGAAAGCTAAGAGTAAACGCTACAAGTTTCATGTTGAAAAGAGTGCAGAAGAGTCAAATTATTAGATTTCATTCCATACTTAATCAAAATAAATTAGTCAGTTTTGGGAAAACTTATTTTTTTCGGGCCGATGCTCTTAAAACTAAATTTTCTTTATTATTTAAGCTAAATTCAGCATTAGAGAAAGTTAGATAGTTTTTAGGAAATAAAGAAGAGCGTTAGGATTACATGGCCGACTAAACAACAAGGTTAATATATTGTTTCGTAATTTCATCAAGACTTTGAGGTTATTATATTTTCTAGTTTTTATTCAGTTCCTTTCAATTCTGTTTTATGTGCCTTGTTTGATTAATTCAAGTTTCATATAATGGGATTGATTAATTTTGATTGACGCATGTTCCTTAACTTCACATATTAACTTAGTTTATTCATTAACTTTGATTAAATTTGATCAAATAGGAATTTAATTCACTAAGGAAATTAGTGATATAATAATCGATGATAAGTCAGAAGTTACCGAACTAGTAAATTAATCTGTTGATCATAATTGTAATTGTTTTCTTTATTTTCAATTGTCTGAAAACTTAAAACTCCCCTTTTTTCGTTTCTTTCCTTTGGCTAAATTAACTTAGAGTCCTTGTGATACGACTCAAGTGTCGTTTTCTTATACTACACTTGATTTACTCATTTCTTGACCCATGTATGACAATAGACTACCTTAACGAAATAAGCCAATTGGTGTAAAATAGGTATACAAATTGAAGACAAATCCTAAGCATAACACTCAATTAAGGACAAAGGGATTTTTTCAAAGAGAATGCATAGACTTTAAAGACTTATTTGCTCTAGTGGCTAGGATTTAAACCATTAGGCTAGTTGTTGGTATTGCAAATAACATCAATTGGTCCATCTACTAAATGGATGTGAAATGTGTGTTTTTGAATGGTTATTTAGAATAGGAAGTGTATATGACACAACCATTTGGTTTTATTATAATAAAAATTAGGTATTTATGTTCTATAGATCTAGGAATGCGTTGAATTGGCTGAAGCAAGCACCAAGAGTTTGGAACAAGAGAATTAATGGGTTTCTAAAGGAGATAGGATTTGATAAATGTGTATCCAAACATGGTGTATATGTGAATAAGCATATAAGAAAAAGAGTGATCATTTTGTGTCTCTACGTCGACGATTTATTGATTATGGGAAGCAATGAAGGATGCATTATGGAATTCAAGGGTTATTTAATGGAGTTTGAGATGGTCAACCTTGGTCTCATGACATATTTCCTTGACATTGAGTTTCACAAGTCCGAAAAAAAGGGAATGATCATACATCAAAGGAGGTATGTGTAACAACCCAATTTTCAGTAATTAATTATTGGTACTAATTAATTAGTTTAAGTGGTTTATTTGATTTAAAGGAATAATTGGATTTATTTAAATTATATGAGTTAATGGATTTAACTGATTTATTATATTTGGTAGAATAATGTGGATTTACCAGATATTTTCTAATTAATGTCAAGATGAGATATTTTGTGAGAAAAGATTTGGTAGATATTATGAGAAAAGAAATATAATAGAAAGAAAAATCAAATGGAAAGTATATAAAGGAAAATAGAATGGAAAGAAATATAAAGAATAGAAATAGAAAGAAAAGGAGATAAGAGTTGGTAAGAAAAAGAAAAGGGAAGAAAAAGAGAAAGAAGGAAAAGGAGGAGAAAAGAGAAGAAGAAGAAGAAAAGTGTGGAAATCATCAAGAGTAAATCAAAGCTTCGATTTAATCAAGGTAAGGGTGAGAAACATTATTATCTAATCCATGTATATGATTATGTATGTGTTGTGTGGGTTGTTTAGGTGTTTTTCTATACTTTTCATTTCTAGGTCGAAAATGAATTAATCGGTAGAATGGTGTTTTAATCGGTTAGAATCGAGGATGGATGGAGTAGTATGGTCGGGTATTATTGGGTTGAGCTTACCGGAGTTGTTTGGTTTGGAACCAGTTGATTTTGTGAGGTTTGGGCTTTTGGACAGCCATGGGCGTTCTGGTCTCGCAGGTTCGCCGAGCGAACATCAGCGAGCATTCGCCGGGCGAAGCCCAGCGAATGGTAGCGAACCCAAATAGAACCAAATTGCCCTGTCTTCGCTGGCAAGTTCGCCAGGCGAATGAGTGTGGCGAAAGTTTGCCAGGCGAATGAGTGTGGCGAAGGTTCGCCAGGCGAGTGTGCTAGCGAGTAATTCCAGAATAACTCCCAATGGTCTTCGCTGGCAAGTTCGCCGGCGAACGAAGCAGCGAAGGTTCGCCAGAGGCTTCGCCAGGCGAAGGTTGGCGAATGCGACAACATTTTCCTATTTTCTGTGTTTTTCCTTCCCACGCGGATTTCTTTGTTCGGTTATGTCTAAACCTTATTTGAATGGATAGTTTGTGTGTTGTTGTTACATGACATGTTGTGGGTAGCCGTGTGGCGTGAATTCTTAGTTGTGGGTCGTGGAGTGTGAAACATGGCCATTTGGCAATTTTATGTGTTTGTCTGAATTGAATGGAAATGCATGATGGATTAGTATGAATGTACATAGATTGTGTGTACTTGCATGAGATGAATATGCATAGAGATATATTTGCGAATATGAATTGCAATCTTTTGACAAATATTTGTATGCATTATTTTAACGTGTTTAAAATGCATGATTATTGTGATGAATTCGTCTCCGTTTGGCACGATATTATGAATGTATATTGATTGGATGCGATTATATGGGAACAATACATGAGAATATATTGTGAATATATGTGCATTGCGTGGTAAATGTGTTATGCGTGTAAGCATGATGTAATTCTTGTATGATGAATTACTTGAGAATGCATGAGAATATATTGTGAATATGTGTGCATTGCTTGATAGATGTTATAAATGCATATTGTGTGCATGTGATTAAATATGAAAAATGCATGGGAACATATCGTGGATATGTGTGCATTGTTTAATAATTGTGAGAAATGCATGGGAACATATCTTGGATATGTGTGCATTGTTTGATGATGTGATAATGGTATTGATAAATGAGCACATTGATGATTGTTGTGATATGTTGTGTGTGTAATCATGTTGTAATTCTTGAAGGGGTGAATTATTGAAATGCATGGGATTAAGATGCGGGAACGGTCTTAAGTGCATTTTGTTGGTTGATTGCATATGCATCATTTAGTCAAGAGGCAATGTTTGCTAGTTTCGTGGAGACTAGTGGCTTGTCCCAAACCTAGAAGGGTGGGTTTGAAAGCCTAGGGGACGGGCTTTGTTGTTATCGGTCTAGAAGGACGGACCTGGTTTAAATGTAAAAACCGAAAAATGATAACAAGTATTGGTACCACATGGCATGAGTTGCATTGAGTCACATGACATATTTGTGATTGTTGTATGAAGCATGCGTGTGTGCGTGACTTGTTGATTTGAGAGTGTGAATATAAGATTGTTGTATGCAAAAATGTTTATGTGTATGTTATGTGGATTGATGAGGACTATGGATATGTGCATGATGAATATGCTTGATGATTGTCCATATTTGTTTATATAAGTAGGCTTTGTAAAGTATATGATGAGTTATGATGAAGTATGGTGAGAATTGTGGAATATGCGTATGTGCATTACTTGTGTAATTGAGAAATGTGAATGTGTAATAGTGAATTGGTGGATAAAACATAACATGTGTATGTTTATGTGGTATGTTGAGATTTAGGGAGGTATGCATGATGAAAATGCTTGATGAATGTCTATGTTTGTTTATATGCACGTTGTGATGCATCTGATAATGGAACTGAATTGTGGTGAGAAAATGTGGGTTATATGTATTCTATACTTGTGTGTGTGTGTGTGTGTATATATATATATATATATATATATATATATATATATATATATATATATATATATATATATATATATATATATATATATATATATATATATATATATATATATATATATATATATATATATATATATATATATATATATATATATATATATATATATATATATATATATATATATATATATATATATATATATATATATAATTGTATGCATTGATTATTATGATAATATTTCTCACCCTTCTGCTGGAATGATGTCCTACATGACATCGTGCAGGTACCAAGGAGTAGTACTGATAGTAGTTGCGAGGTCGCTGTTGGTGCAGCTATTAGTATTTAATAATGTTGGGTCAAGTCATGCTCTGGTTATGTAACACTGGGATTGCGGGGTTTATGCCTTAGAGATATATTGTATATTCTAAGTTGTGTTTTAAATATATTTGAAATATGTGATAATGGCCTCTGTGCCTAAGTGTTGATGATTATGTGACGAACATGAATTTTCTGTGAAGAGTTATGTAAACCATATTGAATTCGCTGCTTCATGCAAGATGAAAATTTAATAGAATGACTATTTATTTCAAGGTTACATGAGTATGACAGGTGAATGTTGAGATTTTGTAATTTTGTGTGACGCCCTTTGTGAAAGCATGTTAATTACTCTGATTAATTATGTATTTTTTCGTGGGGATTAGAAGGGTGTTACAGTATGCACTTAAGATATTAAAGAATTTAAAAATGGAGCATTGTTATATGGTCATTACCTCTGCAGAACCAAGGTTAAAATTGTCAAAGAATGAAAATTAGAAGGATATTAATGCAACGCAATACAAGAGAATAATTGGATCATTGAAGTACGTGTGTAATACGAGATTAGACTTGGCATATAGTGTGGGCATAGTGAGTAGATTTATAGGGAAGTCAAAGGCATTGCAGTTGGAAACAGTCAAAAAGATTTTGAGATATGTTAAATGATCGATTGGCTGTAGAATTTTGTTTCCCATAACGAATAAAGGTAGAAGCTATAAGTGGCCTGATTATACCAACTCAAACTACTTTGGAGATAAATATGACACAAAATGCACTGCTAGATACATATTTATGTAAGGAGAAACGCCAATCTCTTGGCGTACTAAGTAGGAACTAGGTTTGGCGCTCACTTCTTGCGGGGCTGAGTAAATTGCAACATCTATGTGTGTGTTAAAATGTATGGTTCATAAATCTGATGAAGGAACCTTGCAACAAAAAGTATAAGGCTAGACACTAATAAAAGACAATGTATATGCTATAAACCTTGCCAAGAATCTCATTGCACGTGGGTGAAGCAAGCATATACAGATGAGATTTCACTACTTGAGAGAGCTTGTTAGTGAAGAAAAATTGAAGTTGGGGTATTGCAAAAGTAAAGTGAAGATCTAGTAGACAATTTGCTAACTAAAAGAGTGACAAGTGAATTATTCAAGAGGCTGAAGAAACACATAAGTATGGAAGACTTTAAAGACTTAAATTAATGTGGTGTGGTGTAATTTTTGGTAATTCAAGTTAATGTAACCAATTACTGCAGGGATGTAACCGGTTACCATCTCTTATAGCAGCGTAAATATCAAAATAGTGGGGTTTGTAACCGTTTACAGGTTTTTGTAACTAATTACCACCTTCTAGATTTTGGTATTTTTCAAGACAATAGAGTTTGTAAGCGGTTATAGGTTTTATGATGCCAATTACATGGTTGAAATTTTTTTCTTCTTTAGTTAGTTAGCAATACACTTGTATATTGTTGTATATATATCCCGTGATAGGTTATTAATATGACCCGTCATTTTACCTGTAATTCTCTCTAATTCTCTCACTCTCTCCTTTATTCTTGTTCATTATTTTATCTTGTGATTAGGGTTTTACTCCAACAATAAACAATAAACTAGTTAATTTGTTTAAAGTAGATAATGAATTTTTACCTGGTATAAAATGACAATCAATCCCATATCAAACTTTAGTTCCCATGCACTTGGATCTCTAACCACAATTAAAGCAAATACTCCAGATTGAATTGTAATGAAAAATACTTGGAAGAAGACTATCACTATTACAGCAGGGTATTTCTTTGTTATTGAAACCTAAAACAATCAGCAAGAAAAAGAAGACTCATTTTATATGAAAAAGAAAAAACAGATTACACATAAGATAGATGTAAAATATAAAGAAGTGTATGAAATAATTATCACAACCTGATATATGTACCATATGGATGAAAGTAAAGAATCACCAGCACTTAACAACCCTCCCAGAATCCATTTCAAATTTGGTGAAAATTGAAGTGAGTTGTAAGAAGTTGATGAATGTATCTTGAAGATTGGTGGACCCTTGTACAATATGACAACAAATGCTCCACCCATTGATACTATAGTTCCTATCACTTTAGCTTGGTTGCTATAATGTCTCCAATATATTTTTTCCATCCTAAACCATTGATTTGATAATTAATTGATGATTGAGATACTAGAATTAAAAGATATTGAATAAATATATAACTAGATAAAATATCATATTAGGACCTTAGTTACGTGGCTTTTTTTTAACTATGATCAAACATATTTGGATCAAAGAAAATCATTTTGATTGGGCACCCAAACCTTTCACATTCTTTGATGCTTGGTTGGAGAATAAAGAATTTTTTTATTTTGTTTCTAGTATTTGTAATTCTATTGTAATCAAGGGAATGGATGAATTTATCTTTTTAGAGAAATTGAAGGGGTTGAAAGCAGCGTTGAGTGTAACACCCCAATTTTAGTAATTATTTATTTATTAAATTAATTGATTAATTGTGTAATTTTGTGCCTATTTGATTTAATTGATTTAATCTAAATATGTGATATATTGAATTAATTAAATTAATTTATTTATTCTATTTGGTAGAATAATGTAGAATTGTTAGATTATTTAGTTGGGCTTAATTAGGTGTGTGAATAGTAAGTGGGAGTGGGTTAAGTTAAGCTCAATTGATTAAGACAATGTTAGGGTTTAAGAAAAGAATAGAAGGAGAGAAAAAGTTAGTAAAGAGAAAGAAAGAGGCTAGAGAGAAGGATGAGTGGAGAAGAAGAAGCACCAAGAGAGAGAGATCAAGAATCATCCAAAAACCAAGGTAAGGGTGGGTTTTTATATGATTATTGGGATTGTATGATAGTGTATGATGGGTAGTATCATATTTAGGATAAAAATCCCTAATTTCCATGGTTTTGAAATTAATGATTACATAATATATGATGGTAGTATCCTTAAACATGTGTTATCGGCTGTTATAATTGTCATATAATGGTAGTATTTTGAATTCTGGAACTGGGGCTTTTTACGGAATTGAAGTCGGAGGTCCAGAAGGCCTCCAACGGTGAAAAACGCAGAAAATTCCGCATAATGTACTGTTTGCGTCGACGCATCCGTCGCAGAGGTCGATGCATACTGAATGAGTTTTTGTTGATTTGTTTCTGCCTTCAATGCGTCGACTGATCCCGTCGCTAGCAGTCGACGCAATGATGTGTATTGGTAAAATTTTCGTTTCTACGATTTTGCCCATAACTTTTGATCTGTAAGTCCATTTTGGTCCCCGTTCGAAGCGTTGGAAAGATAATGAATAGAGGTATAACATAATATATATGATATAATTGTTTTCCAAATATTTTTATATCTAATAAGTTTGGGAAGTCAATTGTGTATATATGTTATATTAATGAATTATTGCATTATTTGCTGCCGGATGTGAAATTATTGTGGATAATTTATCGAATACTTATGTGTATGCTTGTATAAGTATATTTTGTGTGTGAAAACATGAAATACATGATAGTTATTTCTTGTTGAAATGATAATACAATTGTGATTGTATTGTAAAATGTGTTGTATACCATTTGAAAGTGAATTGTGTGTGGATGATTCATAAAATTATGCAAGTATGTGTAATTGTGTGGTCAGTAATTCATTGTGTTGAATTACGCGTGTATGCGAATGTTTGTCATGAGTTATTTATCATGGTTTGTATTACATAAGACATGTACAAGACTCGTACGCACTGGGGTAGAATGACTGAGATGTCGTTCCAAGTGAGGTATAAGTGATATAGTCGTACGCACTGGGGTAGAATGACTAAGATGCCGTTCCTAGTGGAGTAATCACTGGGGTAGAATGACTAAGATGTCATTACTAGTGGGGTAATCACTAGGGTAGAATGACTAAGATGTCGTTCCTAATGGGGTATAAGTGATATATCTATAATTCTAAATGGAAATTGATGAGAATTGATGGGTTTTATATGAACCAAATGCCCAGTTGCATTGAGTCGCATTTTGTTTGCAATATGAGATTATGTGTATTTATGTGAATTGTTGAATTGGTGAAATTATAGATTGTGTGTATATACTTGTGAATGGTATGGTAACTTGAGTGATACTTTGTTGATAAAACTTTTGAAGTGTGAGGATAATTGTAATTATGTTTGTATGCCTTAAATTATATATCATCTTATGATTTTGATGATTATCTGAATTCTCACCCTTCTGATGGAATGATGTTTTTACGACATCGCTCAGGTACCGAGGAGTAGGGTTGCTTCTAGCGCGAGGTAGCCGTTGGAGTAGCTTGTTTAGTTTATTTATTTATTTTGGGTTGAGTCGTGCTCTGATCATGTAACACTGGGATATTTTGGTTTATGTTTGGGAGATACATTATGTACTCTACTTTATGTTTTTATGTTTATCTGAATCATATGGAGTATAGGTTTTATGCCTAAGTATTGATTATGAATGAGATGCATAAGATACTTTCATTATGTCTATTATGATTGGAATAAATCTGTTGCTACATGCTAATGTGAAAGTGTATGAAAAACATGAATTTATTTAAGTGTTATTGAGCATGACAGGTTTATGTGATGTTTTGAAAATTTATGTGACACCCTTTTGTGAAATGCATGATAATTACTCTGATTTATTTATGTTTATTTTGTGGGATTTAGAAGGGTGTTACATTGAGGTCTTGGAACAAGGACGTGTTTGATATCCTTGATCTTGAAGTTGATAATGCAGTTCGTATAGTTAATGAGTTGGAATCTTTAGAGGATACTGATTGTGTTACAAATGTGAAGCTACATAATAACAGTCATATAGAAGCTAATGAGAATATGTGGCAGTCCATGGTTCTTAGAGAAAGCATTTTGAGACAAAAGTATAGGCATAAATGGATTAAAGAATGTGACTTTAAATCTAGGTTTCTTCATCGAGTTATGCAGGATAGATTTAGGAGGATTAAGGTGGTGGGTTTTTTTACTGATGATGGCCGGACAGAGGAAGTTAGGGTAGTCAAGGACAAGATTAAAGATCATTTTATGGATAGTTTTCAAGAACCATCAATCTGTCGTCCATCTTTGAATGGTTTAGTATTCAATCAACTCTTTTTGGAGGATATATTATTCTTGGAGTTACCTTTTGAGGAGAACGAAGTATAAGAGGTGATTTGGCAATATGAAAACAACAAAAGTCCAGGACCGGATGGATTCAACATGAATTTCTATAAAGCTTGTTGGGATATTCTTAAGATCAATGTTCTGAACTTTATTAGTTTCTTCTTTCGCACTTCTAAGGTTCCTAAAGACGTTACTGCCTCTTTCTTGACTCTCATACCAAAGAAGGAGAATCATCAGTCCCTTGGTGATTATCGGCCCATTTGTTTGATTAGGAGTTTTTATAGGATTATGTTTAAGCTATTGGCTGCTAGATTGAAACAGCTTATGAACGATTTAATCTAGAAGCAACTGTTGGCTTTCCTAAGTGATTTTCACATTCAAGATGGGATTCTAGTGGTAAATGAAGTCTTGGATTTTGCAACCACGAATAAGAAGGAATGTTTAGTGATTAAGGTAAACTTCCAAAAGGCTAATGACAGCATTTCTTGGGACTTCTTGAGATCTATGATGAAGTCGATGTACTTCGGGAATTGATGGCTCTTGTGGATGCAATCCTTAGTCTTCACCAGTTCCATGTTTATTTTGGTGAATGGAAGTCCAACTTCAGAGTTTATTATGGATAGAAGGTTGAGGCAAGGGGATCCCTCTTCCCATACCTTTTCTTACTGGTGGCTGAAGGTTTGGCGGGGCTTATGCGGAAGCTTCTAGGTTGGGAGAATTTAAGGGTTTTAATATTAATAGGGAATTGAGTTTCAATTTGCTTCAATTTTCCGAGAACACCATTCTATTTTGTGATGGATCGTGGGATAACTTATGGAGTGTAAAAGCCCTTTTACGAAGTTTCTAATTGGTTTTGGGTCTTAAAATCAACCTAGCAAAAATTAAGATTTATGGGTTGAACTTGAAGGAGGATTTCATTACATTAACATCTTCTTTCTTATCTTGTGGGGTTAGATTTCTCCCTTTCACCTTTCTAGTAGTGGAGCTGGGTTTAAACCTGAGGAAGTGATCTGCTTGGAAGAAAACGGTCTCTAAGATTCATAATAGGCTGGCTTCTTGGAAAGGGAAATTTATGTCTCAAGGAGGTCATATAACAATCATTAACGCCATTTTAACTAACATTCTAGTTTATCCTTTTTCTTTTTATAGAGCACCTAAGGTGGTGATCAAAGAAAGAATTAACATACAAAGGAATTTCCTTGGGGTGGAGATACTCCTCATAGGAAAGTTTGTAGGGTGGGTTGGAACTCGGTTTATGGTAGTAAGAAGGAGGGAGGCTTAGGAATCATGCATTGAGGTCATTTTAATCAAGCTTTTTTTTGTAAATGGTTATGGAAGATCACTACTGAACCTACTCCTCCTTGGAAGGACCTTTTAGTTTATAGATATGAAGATCTTCTTTCCAAGATTTTTAGTCCATCCTCTCGTGTGTGGAAACAAAAGGATTCTATTTGGTTGCGAGATTTGTTGAACATACGTCCTGATCCCCTATCTCTTTCAAATTGGTCCCCTAATTATATATGTTGCAAATTGGGAATGGGGAATGTGATAAGTTTTTGGAATTCAGGATGGCTTGGCAATATCTTCTTTCTTCTACTTTTCCTCTCCTTTACGGCATTGCAACATATCTGGAAGTCAAGGTGTTCAATGAGGGTTCTTGGCTTAAGGATGTGTGACAATGAAGGCTTAATTTTTCAAAGGGAATTCTGAATTTTGATGAAACCAGCCAATTGTTGGCTCTGCAACAAATCCTGTCTGAAGTTACTCCCTCTCAAAACAGTGATTATCAGTTTTTCTGGTGGCCAGCCAAGGGTATTTTTTCGGTTAGCAGTGTGTATGCGGTGCTATCTTCATCGGAAGATACTCTTGAGTCTTATCCTTCTTCCATTTTGCAGATTATGTCTTTGGTTTGGAAACCAAAAATTCCAAGCAAAGTCCAAGTTTTCTGTTGGAGATTTTGCTCAACCGTCTCACTACTAAAGACCAGTTTTGGCGTCGAGGAATTCTTGCAGGTTAGAGTAATCTGTTTTTCCATTTTTGCTCTCTTGTTGAGGAAGATGCATATCATTTATTCTCTTCCTGTCAATTTAGTTAGAAGATTTGGTTTATTATTTCTCGTTGCCTCCATATTGATTCGGTTGGCACGGTGGATAGTGTTTCAAACCACTTCATCTCTTTTTCTGCTAGCTTGGGCAAAGCCTTTAAAAAGCTTTTTGTTTGCTTGCTTTGGAGTAATGTTTTTTGAAATTTATGGCAGCGCCGAAACCTCATTCTTTTTAAATCGGAGGAGGGAGCTTTTTGGAATTGTGTGGAAAATATTAAGAGATCTTGTTGGGAGTGGTTTCAAGGATTTTATGGGAAGTCTCCTTCCTTGAGTTGGGAGTTGTTTTTCATAGGTTCTTGTTTGTTTTTTTTCTTGTTTCTCCTTATGGACTTCCTTTGTTTTGAGTCCTTTTCCTTGCATTAAGGGCTGAGTACCCCTTGTACTCCTCATAATGCATTTTTGCTTATAAAAAAAAAGGTAGAACAACACAAAGATGTTGGCCAAAAAAACACAAATAGATAGGGTAGAACATCTTGTAAAATAGGAGACATTAAGCCATATGTGAAGTGTCACAACCACTCAAAGATAAAGATTTACTCATTACTTGTGTAAGTAGTCGTATAAGACTAAACTCTGCAAACTAGTACAATATGGTCAACAATACCATTATTAGTATATAAATATTAAACTTTACTATCATTTAAAAAAGATGCACTCAATTAAATCAAATTAATTTACACAATTTTACCTTTAATTTTAAGTATTTTGTAATTTAATTGCTTAATAATTTACGCTTTGTATCCAACATGAAACATGACATTCATGGAAGGAGGAAGAGAAAAAGTTCAAATTTTTTATATTGATTTAGATAGAATATTTAATACAAATATTCATGGATAAATTAGCTTCAAAGTTTTTGCATTGAATTGGCCTTGATCTTTTAGGTAGATTAACATTTTCCCAATTATGGTTTGACATAATTGAATTCATTTCATTGTGGATGACATCCTTCCAAGTATTAGTTCCTTGAAGCTATTGTTTCTTTATAAGTATTAGGACCATTTTTCACTTGAAGAATAATAGGAATCTTAAAAAAAAAAATTTCACTATTTCTTTCTATTAGATAAAAAGAAATAAGTTGAGAATCAATTTTGTTTGGTCCTAGATCCTTAGCCTTTCAGGTCTCATGATTATCTTAAAGTGAGGATTATATTTCAACAATCCATGAAGAACTTTCGGGATGTGTTTCAACAATCCATTAAGAATATGTATCACAAAATTCTTAATTTTTGAAAATCTCAGATTTCTTATCCTTTATAACAAGGTTCTCGAAGAATTCAACATCCCAAGATTCAATAACTACATTAGACTCAAAAATTAAGAGTTTATATGTTTTAGTATTACATGCATATGTTACAAAAGCACATTTGATCTCTCGTGGACCCAACTTAGTCCTTTTAGGATCCATGATCTTATAATAAGCTACACACTCCCACAATCTAAAATAACTAATATTTGGTGATTTGCCTTTCCATACCTCATATGGCGAAGTGCCTATTTTCTTTAAGGGAATTTTATTCATTGTATGACAAGCATATAGTAAAGTTTCACCCCATAAATTAAATGACAATTCAAAATGCATTAAAAAGACATTTATTATTTCTTGATACGTCTGATTCATTCTTTCGGGTAGACCATTTTGTTGTGGTGTACAAGGTTGAAACATTTATGTATAATATCATATTCTTCACAATATGCATCAAATTCAGTAGAAAAGTATCCACCACCCATATCACTTAAAAGGACTTCAATATTTCTACTTAACTGATTTTCTACTTCCGCTTTTAAAAAACTTAAATGCATTAAAAATATCATAATATGCTTTAAAAGATATATATGTGTGAGTCTAAAGAATTCATCAATAAAACTAATGAAACATCTATTCTCCCCAGGGGTTAACATGCCATTAAATTCACACAAATCTGAACGCACAAGATCAAACAAGTTGGTGTTCTTTCTACATTATGGAAAAATTTCTTAATCATCTTTTATTTAACAAAAATTTCACATTTTTAAAAATTATTAACATCGTACGAAATTAAAGCAGATTTAGTTAATCTTTTCGTAATGATAATGCCCATATAGGATAATCTACTATGCCATAAGGAAACAAACTCATTCATATAAGAAGGAATAGAAATCTTATTAATAGTATTGTCAATAGTATAGAGCTTAATATTTCCCTCAATGGAATAACCCTTTTTAACAAATACATTGTTACAGGTCAAGATTAACTTGACCGAATCATACATTGATTTAATATCTGATTTTTTCAAAAGATTCCCACTAACAAGGTTCATATTCTTATCAGGAACATGAGGTACATTGACAAGAGTAACTTTATTTCCTGAAGTGAAGTTGAGTTCCATAGTTCCCATTCCAATGACCATTGATCGTCCTTCATTTCCCATTTGAACCTCTTGTCCATCAGTGAATTTAGAATATGTTTTGACTATTATTTTGTCATAGTAAATACAAGTATCATACACTCATCCTTATACATTTTCTTTAATTGCCATAATTTTGCTCACATTAGCAGTTATGTTATCATATGCTTGAACAAAATTTGCCTCATTTTTGAAATCTCGAGCGTGATGATTGATTTTTCCGCACACATAACAGGCGCCTTTGGGGCCATTTGATCCTCTAAAATTTTTGAACTTATTTTGTTCCTTCTTATGTCGAAGTTATTTTTCCTTACCATCATGTTTCTTTTTCACTTTTATGGTCACCACATTGATTATGACCTTAGAATATCCAACAACCTCAAATTTCTATCTATCTTTTGATTCCTTCTTAATTCCGATATGTTTTTGGATTTTCTCCAATGAGAAGTCCTAGTAATTATGAAACAATTTATTCCAATAGCTTTTTCACAAAGGTGACAATTTTGCTATGATTACACCAACTTGGAAATCTTCTAGAATATTGATCTTTACAACCTTTAGTTTATTTACGAGAGCCTATAACTCGTGCACTAGTGCAAGAATGAGCTTTGAATCCAACATTTAAAAATCAAAATATTTAGAAATTTGAAACTTTTTAGTACCTTCCTCCTAAACACAAAATTTGAACTCTAATGCCTTCTAGATTTCTATTGCTGATTGGTTTTTTGTGTATAGATCATAGAGACAGTCGAACAAAGTGTTTAAAATGTGTCCACGACATAACAATTCATCCTTCTTTCTTTTTTTATTTGCATTATTTTGAGTTCCTCAGAGTCATCTTGCGATTCTAGAATTGATTTTAGATTAGGATCCAAGACATAATGAATCTTCAAGGCAGTTAGGAGAAAGATCATTTTGTCTTGCCAACGAGTAAAAAAATTTATATTGAAATGATCCAACTTAAAAAGATTATTGTTTATCACTTTGATACTTGATGTTCAAGCTACTCTTGGTGGTCATTGTTTGAGATCTTATTAGACTGTAATATAAGTTTTGTAACTTCAATGGATTCAAGCTTGAATCATGCATCTAATCACTTTTGTAATAGTATTTTAAGCGCAATGAATATGTCATAATGTCTATGCGTATGAATATCTAATCACTTTTGTAATAGTATTTTAAGCGCAATGAATATGTCATAATGTCTATGCGTAGGAATATCTAGGATAATTTAACTTATATTTGAGTTTGCACAAGACAAATGAAAACTCAAATGTAGGAAACATGAAAATTTGGAATTTTCACTAAAGAGGATAAGTTAAAGTTGTGTAATTTTTAGAATTTGAAAAATGACCTAATTATAGACTAATTAGTATTGTTTCACAAGGTTACAACTCTTGACGAAACACACCTCAAATGTCGCCTACAAGCCATCACTAGCGTCTTTACACTCACGCCCCTGATGTCGGACCCAGCGCCGTTGTCACAAATGATATCATCGAAGAGGAGTGTGAAGGTAACATTTAACATAAGACTTGGAATCTCACACTTGTCTATGTGACACTTTATTGTCTTTTTAGTTTGTTGAGTTGATATATATATATATATATATATATATATATATATATATATATATATATATATATATATATATATATATATATATATATATATATATATATATATATATATATATATATATATATATATATATATATATATATATATATATATATATAAGGAACATTAAATAAGTTAAATTTTTCATGTGCTGACTATTTCCATACATTGAATCATCATTTACTCCTTTGCAAGTTTTCTCATCATTTTAAAACACAATAATAATCATTAATAATTATTAATTACACCGAAGTCATCAAATCACCACAAATAAAGTCTCATTGAATCCTAGTCATAAAGTCATGAAACATAGTGAGATTTGAAGCTCACCTTCTACCACCAGTATTAGTAAATTATTAAAATATAAAAGTAGTTCAATAATTATTTATTTAAAAAAAGAATATGCGTATTTTTAATTTAATAGTAAAAGTCTATTTAAAAAGGAAATACTTTTAGACTTTAAATATGCTGCAGTTGGAGTAAGAGTGGGTGAACCGAGTTTTATTAATTTTAATTAAAGTAAAGACAAAACTTTCACCGAACCTGAAAATGAGAGCAAGCACAAAAGTGAAAGCTGGAATGAGGTTAAGCATTGCTGATGCAAGAGTAGGTGAACTGAGTTCTATGCCTCCATAACTCATTATCTGTGCTGAAGTTCTGCACATTTTAATAACTCAATGTAAGCAGAAATATCCATGTTAATGCATTTATGCAATTTGAAATAAAAGAATCAATAAATTTTAACTTGTTTAATTTAGGGATTCAATGTTCATGTCTATATCCAAAATTGACATAAATATTTATAATTACACTTACTTAATTTATTTCTTAAAATTATTATCAATATTTACATATTAATGGAAATATCTTGTTTCTGATGTCTTTGTTTAAGATAGAAGGACCTTAACATAGAGAACCAAAAATAATTGATATCTTTCGTAATCATATGGTACGATATTTCTTTGTATGTGTATGGGTGTCAAACACTTAAGTCAACTTCAAGATATCAATAATTATCAACAACAAAAGAAAAAGTAGATTGACGTGACTTCATTGAAATATGACTTATATGGAACCAATTAAATGAACTTATATTTTCTTTAGATTGAAAATTTATAATTATTTGTTTAATACGTCCACGGAACCTTAGATAGTTTTTTTTTTTTAAATATAAAAAAATGAAAAAAAAAAAAAAAAAAAACCTTTGAGAGTTTAGAGTGTCGTAGGAATTGACAAGCAATCTAAATATTTTTCAAAAAAAAAGTAAAACACATAAAATTTCATTTCTCATCCTTACTATGATTTTTTTAAAATATATTAAATAGTCAATATATTTAAACTAAATATAAATTAGATATATAGTTATGAAATAAAACCATTATTTTATAATAACGAATGCAGTGAATATAATTTAATGGCAAATAATTAACAGACACAAAAAATTAACAAATTAAAATTGAAATACTAACCCTAGTAGAGCAAGGAAAAAGAAGCTGGAAAGTATAGAGAAGTTGAGTGGAGGACACTGTGACCTGCAAATGAAAGATGGGAAGAAACAAGAAAAAATAAACTTTAGTTATTTCTTAAACAATAATTTTTACCTTCCATATTACAAAAAGATATAAGAAAAAGAAGAAGAAAAAAGAACCTGTTGTTAAAGAAAGCTAAGGGAAGAAGCAAGATGGTGGAAAGTGCCATGGAATAAACAACCATTACATATTTGTTAATTCCATTTGTTGTTGCAAGTTTAATTACCACCAAGCTTCCACTTTGTGCTAAAACAGCTATGATCATTCCCAAAAATGGTAGAAATTTGTTTGTGCCATTCATGTTTAGCCATTGAAGCATCTCTCTATTTTTCTCTCTCCCTCTCTATGATTATGTATTCTTGCATTTCTTATCTGAGTTCCTTTGTAATAAATAGCACACAACTGCTTTTGTAATAGTAAATTGATTTAAACAATTTCTTAACTATATTTAATTAATTATTTTTTATAAAATAAATTTATAAAATATTTCTTAATTAAAAATTGCTTAAATAAGTTTAAGTTAAAAAAAATCCTTAAATCAATTATATTTAACTCAGAAAAGGGTTAAATTGAAGATAGTTTTTTTTTCAATATATTTTTAAGTTAACAGAAAAACTTGCTACGAAAAATAAAATGTGTGAAGTTAACAGTTTGGGCCGGGTCAGTGTTAAAGTGGATATGTTTACTCAAAAGATTGAAAGTTTGACTGTAGCTCTAGCAGTCATCGTGGCCGCTGTGACACCAAGTTGCGAAATGTGTGGAATCATTGGGCACAGTAACGTTGAATGTCATTTATTGGCTGGTATTCCTACTGACCAAGTAAATTACGCTCAAGAAAACCCATACTCAAACACATACAATCTAGGCTGAAGGAATCATCCAAATTTTTCCTACAAGAACAACAACGCCTTGTTTGCTCCAACTCAAGCCCATGCCGTGGCCGAAAAAACCTTCTATATAACTTAAAAAGCTATCCAAAAATTTAAGGTATGAGTTTCTGGACACTAAAGAACGACCATTAATAGTCAATGCCGACTTAGGACAGATAGAAACTGAAAAAATTGCTACATGTTCTAAGAAAATATTCGAAAGCATTGAGGTATAACATTTCAAACTTAAAAGGAATAAGCCCCTTTATATGTATGCATCGCATTATGCTCGAGGAAGATTGTAAAATCTCTAGAGAGCATTAGAGAAGAAAAAATCCTATCTTGAGCGATGTAGTCAAAAGGGAAGTACAAAAGCTACTAGAAGCCGGAATTATATACCTGATCTCTGATAGTAACTGGGTCAGTCATGTGCATGTCATACCGAAGAAGGGAGGTGTTACAGTTGTTTGTAACGAGAACAACGAATCCATAGCAAAACGAAATCAAACTGGATGGAGAATGTACATAGACTATAGATCGAAAATTGAATAAGGTCGCTCACAAAGATCATTTTCCTTTGCCCTTTATCGATCAAATGCTTGAGCGACTGGCTAAACACTCTCATTCCTGTTATTTAGATAGATACTTAGGATTCTTTCAAATTTCTATTCATCCTAACGACCAAGAAAAGACTACCTTTACCTGTCCTTATGGTACATTTGCCTATCAGCGAATGTCATTTGGACCGTGTAAAGCACCCGCAACCTTTCAGAGATATATGATGTCAATCTTTGCTGATTTTATAGATAATACAATGAAAGTATTTATGGAAGACTTCTCTATCTGTGGGGAAAGTTTTGAAGGATGTCTATCGAACCTAGAAATGGTACTTTAACGATGCATTAAAGTCAATCTGGTGATGATTTGGGGAAAATGTTATTTTATGGTCCGAGAAGGAATTGTGTTTGGACATGTGGTATCTGACAAAGGAATTGAAGTGGATAAAGCAAAAATTGAAATTATAGAAAATCTTTAACCTCCGAAAACCGTTAGAGAAATTCGTAGTTTTTTAAGACACGCTGGTTTCTACCAGCGATTCATTAAAGATTTCTCTAAGATAACTAAACCACTAACAGAATTATTAATGAAAGATGTTGAATTCATATTTGATGAGGACTGCTTGAAAGTGTTCGAACATCTGAAAAATTCTCTTGCTACTGCACCTATTATGCAACCGCTCGATTGGAGTAAGCCATTTGAAATAATGCGTGACGCTAGTGACTATGTCGTTGGCGCTGTCTTAGGACAAAGAAAGGATAGAAACCTTCATGTTATTTCCTGTGCAAGTAGAATCTTAGATAATGCGCATATGAACTACGCCACCACAGAAAAGGAACTTCTGGCTGTTGTGTTCGCTTTAGATAAATTTTGTTCTTACTTGGTAGGAGCGAAAATAATTATATATACAGATCACGCCGCAATTAGGTACCTGTTGAGCAAGAAGGATGCCAAACCGAGGCTTTTAAGATGGATTCTGATTTTACATGAGTTCGACCTAGAAATCAAAGATAAGAAACAAACTGAAAATGTAGTGGCAGATCATGTTTCTAGAATTGAGGATCAAGAACTCGAACAGGTGCCTATCAATGATGATTTTCCCTATGACCAACTTGTAGCCCAGTTAGAAAGCAAAAGTGAAACAAGAGAATGCTCTTTAATTTATCATGACGCAGAAACAAATGAAGTTGTGGAATCAATTTGCAAGAAAACCACACTACCATGGTATGCCGACTTTGTCAACTACCTAGTAGCTGGGGTACTTCCATCAGACCTATCCTACCAACAAAAGAAGAACTGCATGAGGTGAAGCATTAAGTCCATTCATACTTGAGAAGATCAACTCATCTTTCATCAATGACGGCCTTGAAGTTACTACTTGATGTCACAAAATTGGTTAAGACATCCAGCTGGAGAGTTCAGGCTTTCATTCTGCCACTTTGAATAACCTCATCACTCAGTCAAAAAGAGCTCATAGACTTGAGATTGAGTAGACATCCTCCATCTTGCTTTATTGGACCACAACACATTGCTTGAAATGCATTTGCTTCATGAACAACTCTTAAGAGAAACCAAACATGCCAAGGCTTGATTCTTTAATGAGGAAGGGTCACAAAAGAAATCTTTACACAAGGATTCCCGCTTTCCTTAAGTACAGACTTCTTTAGAAAGTCAGAGACAACTACCACTTATCCTTGACCTCAAATATGACCAAGGTCATATGTTCCTATGCACTTAGATCAGAAATAAACTGACCCAAGCAGTGTTATTACCAACACCATCCTTTAGACAAGTTTCTTGCCAGAAAACTTTCTAGATGTAAATCATATGCTGCTGCACACCAATAGACTGATCCACGAAAACTGTCTTCATCTCCACTTCCATCAGCACTACATTCTAGTCTTAGTTTCTTGCCAGGAAACTTACTAGAATAAAGTCATATCCTACCACACATGCGTATGGTACCTATGATTCACTCCTTGAATCAACAGAATTCTACACAATTTCTGCAGTTGGAATGTCTCAACATCTGGTTGAACATCAAATCAGGAGCCTGATGTTTGAGCAACAACTGATGAGACAACTTGATCATCAACTAAAGATAATCCATTAAATATTTGAAAGTATCTCAAATAGCATATGAATCTTAAATCCTTGTAACAGATCCTTCTCTGAACTTCATGGATAATCAATTAAATACGTGTGTAGAACACAAATAGCAATTGATCTTAAGTTCACACAACTTCAGGAATACCAAGGCTGAAACATCAAGGCTGACACCCTTGACTCAACCTTCCTCTAACTTCCTATGTTGAAAGAGCCTTTGCAATTCATGAGTGGTGAAAATAAATCACCTCCCACCATCCTTTCTAAAACTGCCTTTGTGATACAAAGCAACACACCATCACAACAACATGCAGCAGGATCCATATTTTGTCAGACCAATCAGAGCAGTAGAGACCACCATCTTACAACCATATATTAACATGTATATAAGTTAGTCTTCTCCCAGGGCTACCAGAGTTCTTTCATCAGAAGAATATGAAGAGGAACCATCAAAAGAACATCTTTAACAAGCCCTAAACAAGATGTCTGATTATTCAACAGTTCATAGGAGAGAAGTAGTCACTCCTCCTTTGGCAGAACATACAGCAAGTCGTAAAAGCTCCTATATCAGAGGGCACATAAGCAGATACATACTTCTCCTTAGCTCCATAAGCAGTAGCTCAAACATTCAGCAAGATCAGCAACTCAGTTACAACTTCTCCTTGTTCCAAAACACCAGAAAGTATCTCCCAAGATCTCATCCAAAGCAGACAGGATGCCTGCTCTGATACCAATTGAAATTCTGGTATGCAGATCTCATATGTCCCAAGAACATTGATCTCTGCTGAAACAAGGACGAGGACAAATCATGAACAATTTAAATTTCTTTAAATTGTACCAATGTCATGACCAACATCATGAACTCTGTTGTGACATCTGCAGGCTGACAGACCTATTTATCTAACCATTTAAATTGTGCATAATTGTAAATGCGGAAAGATAAATAACACCAATAATTGTTTACCCTGTTAGGTGCAACATCGCCTACATATGGGGGCTACCAAGCCAGGGAGGAAATTCACTATTAGCATAATCAATTCAAAGTCAAACAACCAGTTTGCACTTCTCACTTAATCTCTACCCAATGACACTTCAACCTAGAAACACTCTAGACCTAAGTATACCCACTCATTCCCCCCAATCACAACACAGTGATGTCCAATTACAGTTACAAAACAGTAATTGAGATACACTCCAAACACACACCATGATCTTGCTTCACAGCTTTGATCAAGTGAGACACACTCTTGCTTAAAAGCTTTGAGAGGCACAATGAACACACCTGTTCATAAACCAGAGCAATCATACAACCTACAATTGCTTGGCACACAAGGAATCCTAAGACTCCTACACACGTGAAGAATCACTGCATACCACAAAATTCTTCACTCACAAAACACACGTGAAGAGCAACACTCTTCACTCACAAATATGTCTACCACAATGTATCAAAAGATACAAAGGGTGACTTACACACAAGGGACTCTCAAACCCTAGACCTCTATTTTACACTCAAGTTGTTCTTGATGTGAGTGCTTCTTTTTTTCCTCTGCTTCTGCTCCTCATTTTATAGTAGTGCAGACTGGACTTGGGCTGGTCACAAGTAGCAAACATTAGTTTTAACAAAGTAAAACTAATTTCCACAGTTCACGATGCTTCCAAATTAGGCATGGCTTTTCATGATATGGTCAACACTGCCTAGAATCTCTCCTGAGATAACTCAGAAGTCATAACAGTTTTCCTGAAGTATAGCCTGAGTTTCCTCTTGCAATATAACAGAAAACCA